AGCTACAGATACTACTAATGCAAGACAACGCGGAAGGAATAATGGGAAACAAAGAAGAAGAGGAAACAATAACAATAGAAACAACAGTGCAAACAGACAAAACGAGACCCCGGAAGATAGACAGAATAGAATCAATGCAACGCCTTGTAGAATACACAAGGGTCAACATCTATGGGGAGAGTGTCATTTCAACAAATATGGTTAAAACCGAGGCAATAACAATAACAATAATAACAACAATCACGGAGGAAATCAGAGAAACCAAGGCAATTCAAATGCAAACAACAGCAGTAAGAGGTTAACTCCAGGATTGTATTATATGGATGAACATGGAAACATGAAACCACAGTCGATCCAAACTCAGAATTATCATGGCTCCAACTCCAGTGGTCCTCCAAGCCACGTATCACTACAGTCCAACAGCAATCAGGGCTCGACGATTCAATTCCAAGGACAAGGACAAGGACAAGGACAAGGCCCAAATCAACAGTGGTGACATTCAAGCGAGGCTTACCTTGCATTGCCTCCACCACCATTCACTCGATCACCAACAGACAGCCGTGAGCTTTATGGCCTTGATAATGATGAAGCTCTCAAGAATCCAACAGCAATCACCTTGAGAGCTCTGAAAACACCACCGGATGTGCAGGATGTATTACCAGCAGTGATCCTAGTATGTAAAGCCATCCAAAGCCTACCGACAATGAACACTTTCAAAGTTCTATTAGAAAGTGGGAGTACAATGTGCCTTATTCACAAGTGTTGCCTTCCACCAGGAACAGTTCCCTTCCAAGACCAACTCAGCTCAGTTACAACTACCGCCCAGGGGAGTTTTGACACTTCTAGATATGTTTTCATATCCAACATTAGACTCCCGGAGTTTGGCAACGGCAAATATACCAGAGGAATCAATGCAAGGCTCTTTTCAGCCCCCTGCAAATATGACATGATTCTAGGAAGGGACTTTCTACTGATGACAGGGATAGACCTCTTCTATTCTACGCGCCATCAGATGGTTAGGCTCCACCATTGATATGAAACCAACAGATCATTTTAATGATCCCCAGCAAATAGCAGAGGCTATGTGGCTGGCAGAGGATGATGAACTCTTAGATGGAGGATTCGTAGAGTTTCATCTACTCCCAAGCTGCCGACCTCAAAGTTGCAGACGTGCAATTGATRCAGGYTYGGACAGTTATTTAGCAGCAGATGCTGCCAGGGCTCCTGTAGATACAGAACCCAACAGAATCCTGGACGCGCAGTACCAGAAGGTGACTCCAGAGCAAGTTGCAGACCAGCAGGAGCATATAAACAGCTCACAAAAACTAGCATTCACAGAGATGCTAGCCAAACACACGGAATTGTTTGATGGCAAACTAGGTCGATATCCTCATGAAAAGATCCACATCGATCTCGAGGATGATGCCAAACCAGTCTATATACGACCATACCCAGTTCCCTACAGACACAGAGATGTTTTCAAAAGGGAATGCCAGCATCTGGTTGATGAGGGAGTGATTGCTCCCACTGGCAACTCAGAATGGGGCTTCCCAGCCTTCATCATTCCCAAAAAGGATGGACGAGTCAGATGGGTTGTTGATCTGAGAGAATTAAACAAGAGGATCAAGAGACCTCAATTTAATCTCCCCAAAATCCAAGACATACTGAACCAAAGAACACGGTGTGATCACTTCACCAAGATTGATCTCTCCATGATGTTCTATTGCTTTGAACTGGATGAAGAGAGCCAGAAAATATGCACTCTCACTACAACACATGGCAACTACCGATGCTTACGTTTGCCTATGGGACTCAAATCATCTCCAGACTACGCCCAAGCCTTTATCACTAAGATCTTATTCGGCTTAGATGTGGAGGTTTATATTGATGACATGGGAATCTGGTCTCGAGGACTCTTTTCTCAACACCTCTCCTTGGTTGATCCAGTCTTGGAAAGATTGGCTTCCAATGGAATGAAATGCAACCCGCTCAAGTGTGAGTGGGCAGTCAAGGAATCTGACTTCCTTGGCTATTGGCTCACCCCGACCGGAGTTAAGCCTTGCCAGAAGAAGGTAGATGGGATCCTGAAGATGGGAATTCCACAAACCAATCACAGGTCCGGTCTTACCTTGGTGTGGTGAACTACTACAAATCCATGTGGCCTAGAAGGTCACATGTATTGGCCCCACTAACAGCCCTCACGGGCTCAGGACCTTACATCTGGACGCCAGCATGTAATCAGGCCTTTCAAGAAATGAAAGCCCTCCTTGCACATGATGCCATCAACACCTTTGCTGATTTGGAAGAACCCTTTGATATCTACACCGACACATCTGATTATCAGCTTGGTGCAGCAATACTCCAAAACAACAAACCAATTGCATATTGGTCAAAGAAGCTCAACAAAACCCAAATGAACTACACCACAATGGAAAAAGAGCTCTTAGCTATCATCCTATGCCTCAAAGAGTATTGCAATATGCTCTACGGTGGCCAAATCTTCATCTATACTGACCATAAGAATCTTATCTTCCGGACCCTGTCACAGTCCCAAGTCCTCAGATGGAAACTAAGCCTGGAAGGCTTTGATATTAAATGGGAATATATCCCAGGCAAGAAGAATGTTCTTGCAGATTGTTTCTCTCGAGTGCCCAGAATGGATCCGTGCACTGTCCAGGATAAAGAAAAGAAAATTTATGAGAAGAAGAAAGGAACAATGGTGAATTTCAAGGAGTTGGCAGCTCAAGTGGATCCAGAGGATGTATTTTATCTGGAGCCAGAACTACATGAGTGCTTGCTCAATTTACCACCAGTATCAGAAATGGAGAACCCAATAACAAATGCGAGTCTTTATACCTATCAACTCACCGACCCCCAGTGCCAATGTCTGCTTGAAACTGACCCAGAACACTACATCAAGAGAAAGATAGGCACCTTTGAACTACTCACAGTATCCACGAATGATAATAATTGGAAAATCTACCTGCCAGATGGCCTCGTGGACAAGACCCTCAGATGGTACCACCTCTTATTGGGTCACTGTGGAAGCACAAGGCTTTATGAAACTATCAGTGCTAGGTTCTACACCCCACGACTCAGCCTGAGATGCAAGGRGTATCATTGTCTGGATGAGTGCCATCGATTCAAACAACTAGGACAGGGACATGGACTGTTACCAGCTCAAGAGGCAAAGCTTGTCCCTTGGGATGAAGTATGTGTTGATTTGATAGGCCCCTGGAAAATCCTTCTTCCAGATGAAACTGAATTAGTGATCAATGCACTCACCTGCATTGACCCAGTCACTAACCTACTAGAAATAATCAGAATCAACAACAAATCAAGTGAGCATGTGGCAGAGCAGTTTTCCAACTGTTGGTTGTCAAGATATCCAAGACCCAACAGGTGCGTCCATGATAATGGCTCAGAATTCATCGGAGCTCCATTCAAACAGTTACTGAATCAATACGGAATTAAGAGTGTCCAGACAACTGTTAAGAATCCACAAGCAAATGCAGTTTGTGAGAGAGTTCATCAAACAATTGCTAATGTTCTACGAGCCACACTTCATAGCAAGCCTCTTGAAGAAGCTGACTTTGATGAAGATCAACTAATTGACAATGCACTCGCCTCAGCTATGCATGCTACCAGGTGTGCTGTGAATGCTGCTGTGAAGACCTCACCAAGCGCTCTAGTCTACAACAGGGATATGGTAATGGATATCCCACTCATTGCTGATTTGAAACTTATCAGAGATAAAAGACAACACCAAATTGATGAGAATCTGAGGAGAGAAAATGCTCGGAGAATACCCTTCAAATATCAGGTCGGGCAACAAGCTTACATGARACACTATGAACCAGATAAGCTGTCCCAAAGACTACATGGTCCTTATCCCATTGTGGAGATCAACACTAATGGGACGGTGGTGTTGCAAAGAAGTGACAATGTGCGTGAGACAGTCAACATCAGGAAGCTTGTTCCTTGCAAAGGAACTGTCGAACACCCAACAACACAGGAGGAAGAACCCCCTGTTGAAAATATTGAAGATATGATTGTTACAGTCTAGTAATATTGAAGCAATATTACTGTCCGGGATAATGCAACAGATACGTACGTACGGTGTCTGAAGTATACGTACGTACTGTATCTGAAGTATACGTATGATACGAAGCTTCAAAGAAAGGAATGAAGGAGCATACCATTCCTACGTACCTATCGTAAGGTACTGTTCATATCTATGTATCATAGGATCCATCGTAAGAGGTCCGAGGATCGTAAGAGATCCGAGGATTGTAAGAGGTCCAAGATATCGAGAGTTAGAATATCTTACAAAGAACATAGACGTCACGAGTCCTGAATAGAAGAACCTCCTTGTAGATTCCCTACGAGGTCTACATGAGGATCTGATCGGAACTTCGGAATTCTCATGAACACGCTCGATAATCTTAATCTTATTATTTCAATTTTCATACATACTTAAGATTACATGTAATCTCGTGCATCTTAGACCTCTCGGTACGATGGATCGTATGATTTACATATATATGATTAGTGCCTTATGATATGTAGGTAGGAACGGTATGTCCATCCATTCTGGGGGAGCATCGTATGTACGTATGCTTCCAATACAGTACGTATGTATACTCCCAATACAGTATGTATGTATACTCCGGATACCTCATGCACCCGGGACAAGACGCCAATGACCTCATCGAGAACAAAGTCAGCAGCAAGCTATTTCTGGTGTGGCACAACAGCTCTCAACCAAGCCAATATGAACACCACAAGCAACTCTGCATCCTTGCCGCCTACAAAATCTGCTGCTGCACCCCTGAGGTGTTGGACCGCGCCAACAGCGACAACAACTCTAAAGGCACTGACACAGGGAACTAGGGCTGAGATCGCTGGAACACAATGGGCCTACCACCAAACAAGTAGGTGTTCCAATGGAGAAAAACCTGTTGCAAAACAGTAATAGGTCAACAGCGTCAAGATACCCCAGACCATTACACATTTTACTGCATTTAGATCTAATCACATTAGTCAAAACCTAATTTTGGCAAACACTCTGAAATTCCAAATAGCTGACCACTTAGATCCTTACAACCTCAGACCACAGAGGTACAAACATACGGTACCACAGTACCAAGAGGCCTAGAATGTCCCATGGCACCAGTCCAAGAGCAATAACGGAAGAAGGAAAGACAAGGCTACTATAACTCAGGCTAAGAGCAGTTAGGAACAACTGCACTTAGCAATGTATTTATCATAGTTATCAATGTCATTGATACATGAATCACATATCCAAAGATCAAGCTTAACATCAACACTAAGCTTTGGACAGCAACATTCAGGGTGCTGTGTGTTTGGACATAATGCACAGCAAAGCACTTTACCACCACCGTTGCAGTGATAACACTCTTCTTTATGCTCTCCTTCGTACAGTGTGTATCCTTGCGCCATGGCATGTCTCCAATACTTCTCCATTCTGAGTTTTTGTAGGCCATTGTCAGACTGGGATCTTGAGAGATTGTTTCCTTTCAATGATACAGATAGCATACGTGACAGTGCAGCATCTAACACATAGATGTGCAGGTACAGTGAAGATAGACTTGTGTTCATCAAGACCGCGTATGGCGTAGACCAACCGCTACTTCTGTCACTCCACCAATGAGGTAATTTTGATCGATCAATGGAGGCAACTAAGGTAACAAAAGCTTGTGCTAGCATATGTGTACAAGTGGATTCTGCAACAAAGTTCTTCCATAGTTTGTAATTTTGGTTGCTGTTGAAGACACTAAACGAATTGAGCGGATCAATTTCATTGCGGTACGTGGTCGGCATTTTTATCGATTTGGGAATCAACCTCGCTATTTTCAACAATAATGACTTTCCTTCTCCAAGGAAACCCGGTATGCTTTCGTCCAAACAAAATTGCTGTCCATTAAGTCTTCTTGTGCTCATCAACGCACACCCCACACCATGTAAAAATGTAGGCATCGGATCATTCCTCTTAGTTTTTGCTTTCGTGGTGGCGCATACTAAGTATCTCTCAAATGGTAAAGAACATAGAGGGCAATCATGCGTAACATTTGCAGATTTGATGACAGGTTGCTCATCACAAGTACAACAATGGGTTGTTTGAACAAAATTCAAGTGCAGTGAATCAGTAAAAGAGTCATCGATTTTTGATCCTTTTAATTCCCTTGAATCTTCCAAAGCTGAAGCCAGCTCCTCCTGGTCATCCGATATACCATTCTGTAACAAGTCCTGAAAGTTTTCTTTGCGATCCTCATAAGGCTGTGCTTGTTGTAAATTCGATAAAGATGGGTTGCGTTTTTCCTCATGTTCGTCGGCGGACATTGTCTTTCTAATCACAGCCTGCTGATCTTCTTCACGGTAATCCTCAGGAAGTTTTTTTTGCAATCGTAGCTTCACAACTACTCTTGATTCTTCACTGTCTTGGCTAACGTCTACAATCCATACCTCATCAGGATCTGATTGATACATTTTCATGTCTTTGACGTACCCCATTCCTGACACATAAAATGCTTCGATTTCAACCTTATGCTGACTTTTTCGGTCTGAAGAATCTGATACTATAAACCTGTTTACAAATCCAACCATAAGGGCACCATTGCTAATGAAGTCTCCCCCAGTAGCTTGTACGAACGTGCATACTGCTTTCCCTTTCCATTCAATGAGTGGCACATCGCAGAGGTACAAATGATTTCTCTGTTGATCAGTGGCAACCATATCATCACCCCCACCACGGATGCGCTTCATAGGTCGTTCCGGAACAGCTTGAACATTCTGGTTAATTTGATGCACAGTTTCTTGTACGGAAATTTCTTCAAAAAGCTGCAACTCAATGGATCTATCTATCGGCAGCGGTTTTATTGGAGCTCGATATTCGTATTTGTAACCACTGTTCTCATCCTTGAGAATGACTGGTCCTGTCTCAGGATATTCTGTGCTATTCATTCGCTCAAAATCCAAATCTAGAATCGTTTTAAAGCAAGAGCTATCAACAACTGGAATTTGACATAAGAGCAATGGGTCCCACGATGCCAGTGTTATAATATGTTCAGTGATAGTATCGATTTCATATCTTGGCATAAGGAGGCGTATCCCGAGCTGCCAAATCCCCCTCACACAAGCTTCGATGAAAACGGAGACTTCCAACGCCGAGAAGAGGAAGCCTTTTTTTGCAGGGCGGTAGAAATCTTCTTTTTGGACACGGGGACGCTTACTGTATGTGTCATGAAATCTTTTCTGCATTACTTCAAGTCTAGTCAAAGTAACACTGCCATCCAGTAGACTGGCAGTTAAGTTTTGAAAGGGCCCTACTGGAAACGGGTGTCCTTTCGCTCTGATGGGTAGGTTGGTGTTGTGATTCGACTGTACGTTTGTCTTAGGGACAAGTAATACAGGGTGTGATTGTCGACGATCTGTCTGTGTTGTTGGCCGAACCATTGGTTTAGGATCCGACGACGCTGATGAAGCGACCCGACTTAAAGTTCTTAACGGTCGAACAAAAGTGAACGTCACAGGGGATAAGTTGATCTTCGCGTGTTTAATTGTAGATAGTACTGTTGAAATCTCGTCATTTCGATTCAAGTCACTAGATATATTGACTTTGATGTTGCGTGCTCCTAGAACCCAAGGGACAAAATCACCCATTCCGAAAAAATGATTATAACGCACTCCACTAATCGATTCAATTATGTCATGAGTCCTTATACCAACACTGAACGCATAGGATTCGCGGTGTATTCGTCCAATTCGCAATATGCGTTCTTTTTCCCATTTAAGAATTTCAAAACCAAACATACCCATCGCAGAATCAGTAACTCCTGGTCGAGATAGAAGGAGTTTTTTTTGGGTCTCTTTGGGTAATGATCGCAAATCTTGACATGGGAAACCGGATAATGATCGCAAATCTTGACATGGGAAAAAGTTCGGAGGACTCAATTTGTTTTCCAGAATTTCTTTATCCCTTTCGTCATAAAAAATTAAGTCGGAATAGAACAGCATGTACTGGTCTTCCGAAATATGAGGCAATGTCAAAATTTGGCAGGAGGGTTTGATTGGGTTGATTGGGATAAGGCCTGGTTGCAAACGCGCTAGGCCAAATTCGAGATCATCCGAGTTTTCGTCATGTTTGATTATTTTCCATTTTGACGGTGTTTTCTGTTCTTCCACTTGGGATATTGGGTTAACATCCGAAGAGGATGACGAGAGTTGTCTTACAACCGCGGTAGATCCTTTACCTTTGAGAAGAGACTCGATAAGTTTGTTTGTAATCTCCAGAGTAAGATCTTGATTTCTAGCTCTCAGAGATGAAACACCCATTGTTATTTCAGAATCAATCGATTTCTGGAAATAAAAAGAAAAATCGGACAACACCGTTGAAGAGTTACAAACATCTCGAATGATTGCATCATCAATTGCGAGACGTATGCTATTGCTCTCCTTTATTTTCTTTCGCAGGGCTGCTGACGAATATCTTGTGACGCCATCTAAATTCAGAACATCTAGTGACGTCCAGGAAATTTCCGAGATAATATTATTTTGGTGTTCGTTCCTCATTTTGCACCTCTCCAGGAGAAATTGTTGTTGATCACAACTCACGACCGGAATCAAGTGATAGATACCGTCGTTTTTACTTATTTGGTCATAACGATCTTTTCGTCGCCCCTTCACCACCGCATCATGGTAATCAGATGGTAAGTAAGATGCAACGAGGAATTCAATCAGTTGACTTTTAGTGTCAATAGGAAAAGCACTTGACACACATTCTACCAATGGGTCGCAACGGAAAACCAGAAATGAAGTTCCGACCAATGAAGCACGCATCGTATATTCCTTGATAGCATTCTCGGTTCTTTCAATTTCTTTCTCCTCGGAATCTAGAGAGTGATTCAAACAGACCTGGGCGTTGCATATTGCCATCTTCTGTGACGGCCGAGAAACACAAGCAGAGTAGGCCGATCCCAACCAGGGGACTCGGCATAATTGAAATATTTCTGGTGGACCAGCTAGCCGTTTGAAAGAACTCGATTTTACGGTACCGCCCACACACCAGGAGCTAAAGACTACCAAGAAATGAGTAATGAATGCAATTTGGTGAGTATTCCGATCATTTGCACCTAAGACAGAAGACTCGATCAGCCCCTTCATAGCTCTACATAACAATGTCATTGGCTGCTTTTCGAGTGACGTTGCTGCCCTTAACAGTCGTTGCCGAGTCGAATTGGCCAAGGAAGGTCTTAGAAATGACTTTGCTGCGTCGTCATAAGACTCCTCGTTGGACTCTACCATCATGATATCAGTTAAAATTGAGTCAAGTCTTCGCAAGCAAAAATGTGACGAAGAAGTTTTATTGTCTTCAAGAAAAGGTTTGGCATAAGATTCCATACCCACTCGTCGAATTACTGCCCTGCAGTACGATGCTTCCAAGAACACAGATCTAGAATCATCGTGGGTACTCGGTTCACAACAAGACCCACAGTACCAGAGTTCTGATTCATCCATCCTTTGAAGGATATTGAAGAGCTTTTCGTTCTCTTCCTTGATAACCGAGTACCAGTTTGTAGCGAGTTCGACCACATTTATGGGAGGTCTTCGAATGATCAACTTTATTTTCGTCGAGCCGTTTTTCAACAGTTCGGTACGATCTCGTTTTGATAGGTCGGACATAGTAAACCTCTTTTTCGCTTCGACGTTTCTTTTCTTACTATGGGAGGAGTTCTTTTCAATTTCCATACCGATAATGATATCTCCGATTTGAAGACCAGCTCTACCCCCAGGGAGTTCCTGGTTCACTGTCACTACAAGACATCCTTTGTGAGACGTTCTCAATGGCACCAGTAGATTGTTTGCTCCACCATTTTTTGTTTCTGAAGGCATCAGTTCCACCAATGACATAGCATCAGAATGGAGGATATCAAACTGCTCACTACAGTCTTCAGTACTAATAAATGATATACCCAACCTTGCTTGATTTTCGTCGATGTTCGATTTTCGTTCGATTTTTAATACTTCTTCTACCCATTCATTATCTGACATTCTAAAATCGGGTCGATCAATGTTTTTCGGGTGTTTCAATTTGAAAATGTCATGCAATGGCGGGAATGAGCGAATAAGATCTTTCAAACTTATCGCGGTCGGAAGGGTTCCGGAGGCAGAAGCAGCACACGTCTCTTTGAAGACTTGTTCGCAATTGAAACATGTCCTGAGGTCAGACGAACAGACCTTGTTGCATCTACAACATTTTTCGACCCAAGGCTTAGGTACGCTCTCGAGGAGATCCGCGAGATAAGACAAAGTATATTTGTTCGATGAATCAATCAATTCACATGCTTTGTCATAGACGTCGAAAGGTCCTGGAGACAATGTGCCAAAAAGCAAATCCAAATCATCGATTGCTGTAGTGATTAAATGTTTATAAGCTTTGTCATTTGTGGGACATGTTTTCAAAACCGTTTTCAACAAATTCGATACTTGTGATTGACAAGTGATTGATACGGAACCATCGTATCTACCAGAAATTGAAAGTCTTCGATCAATACGAGAAAAATTTAGATCCTCGTGGTGGATCCTGTCGGTTGGCAGCTTTCGCATATTTTCTTGGGCTTTCACGATAAATCCAGCCTTTTCCAATGCATTTGCCATTTCCAAAGAATTCTTATCCATTTTGCAACCGATGTCAAGTTTGAGGTGCTTGAGTCGCATGGAAAATAAAATTGCGACCGCCCTTCTGTTTCTCCTAGCAAACCATCGAAGTATGTAGGACTGGCAGGCTCGATAAAGTTTGAAGCGCTGTTGTTCGCAGTTCTCGTTGCAGCGGATATTTCTGCAGACGTTGCTTCGTTGTCTCTTTCGCTTGCGTCTTTGCCCATCTTCTTGCTTCCGCAGATGTGCAGTCAAAATGTTATTTTTCATGTATTGGTATGTGAATATAGATTGATTCACGACCGCCCACTCCACCAACTGGTCGACATAATCACCGACTTTCATCAGCTGAGACTTTGTGTCCAATGGATTCCCTCTAAAAGTAGCTTCGAATTTTCTCTCAAAGGCGGTCTCCGTGTCTTGCTTAGCATCCGTGTCAGCATCTTCGGAATCGTTCACTATCAGTTCTTTGCCTTCCCCCGAGCGATTTATTCCCCTAACAATTGCATTCGTCGAACATGACGCATCATCGTCATCGTATTTATCTCTCCGTTTCACCTCGAACAATTGAATTAGTTGCCGCAGTGATTGCGTGTTTCGGTGCGCACGTATCCAAAGGGGAACAAGATCGGTTGACGGCGAGAATGAGAATTGTTTGCTGTGGGAGGAGTTTTTGCCTGTTTTATATGTGTTCAGTTCATATACACATAGTGGACTCTTGAAGGATTGGATCAGGGATGATTCCTTGTGATTCTTCCAAGCGGAATCACTTCCGTCGACGTCGGTTGCAAATTCTTGGTCACCAACAAGAGTTGCCATTATCGCAAATCTTGCATACGCTTCCCACGTGTACTTATTGGGAGGTAGTGCTAGAGAACAGCACCTACGGAACTTTTTTTTTCTGTGAAAAGCAGGAATTCGAGAAGAAGCAGGCGTCGCATTGTCTGCTTCTGTTACTGCTGCAGGTTGTTTTCCAGAAGTTGCACTATCTTCTGCTATGGAAGCTTCCGACTCGGCCATTGGTCTCGTCTCCTCCACGGGAACCGGCGGAAGCAACTTCGCAAAATACTTCGAGCAAGGTATGTTCAAAAAGGGGGAGAAACAACAGAGACCTGCCTCCTTTCGTCCCGTGCACGGCATCAATCGGGCCGGCGATACCAGATGGTCCTGTGCAACGACCTTGCAGGTCCAGACCTTGCAGTTCCAGAGCATCGAAAGGACCAGCTTCGTTCGATCCGGAACCCCGCAAATATTTTTTTGGATTCTCTCTAGTTCCGTTTTCTTCCGGACGGCAATGCGACCCGCCATAGACTCCGACCCCTCTGCGTTTCGTAAGTATTCTCCCGCAATAAACGTTTCTTGTTCCAGTAGCTGGATTCGTTCCATCAAGGATTGGAATTTCAATGCATCTTTTAGGTCTACCGCCGTGATTTCTCCGAAACGAAATCTGTCGCCGCAACCTCCATTTATTCTTTTCTTTGCCGACAGGGAGAGAAAATGCGACTGAAACTGATTCAAAAAGTCGGCGATCTCGACCAATGGATCCCGCCCTCGCAGTTTGCTAATGCAGCTCCTCGTTCTTCTGGTGGAACAGGCATCATCGTCAGCAGCTATATTTACCGACATCTTACCAAAATAGTTGAACAAATAAATTCAATTACAAACGAAGAATTGTGGTAGGTGCGAAGCACAGTTGTTCCTAACTGCTCTTTGTTAAAATCACGCGTACGGTTGAATCTTACGATTGGCTCACTACAGTACTGTAACGATGTGTAAAAATCACGCGTACGATTGGATTCACACGACTGGACTCATACGATTGGATCTTACGACTCATACGATTCCAACTGTTCGGTAGAAGTACGTGGTACTGTGCAGGTACCTCATTTTTGCAACCGATATTGCAAAACGTTCAAAATTGGTGCGTAGGCTATAGTACTGCACGAGATTACGTGTACTTAGTAGGTGTTTAAGTGTGTATGAAAATTGAATTATAAGATTAGAATTATTCGAAGATTACCAAGCGCGTTCACGAGAATTCCGAAGTTCCGATTGGAACCTCATGTAGACCTGCTAAGGATTCTACATGGAGGTTCTCTGTTCCGGACTCKTGACATCTCTATTCTTTGTGAGGTATTCTCGAATAGTATCTTAGACCTCTTACGATCATCAACATGATGGATCGTATGATCCGTATATAAGAATACTATATTATGATATATAGGTAGGAATAGTATATCCATCCATTCCGAGGGAGCATCGTACGTATGCTTTCAACACAGTACGTACGTATCATTTCAATTCAGTACGTACGTATCCGTTGCACGTATCCGTTGCA